ACTCTGCATTGGCTCCCAATCAGTTATAGAATAGTTTTTAAAGTGATGATCTTAGTTTATAAAGCACTGAATTGTTTAGGTCCAGAGCATCCACCTTATTCTGCTCTAAACAAAGCATGCTGCCATGACGACGACTCCGGTTCGAATCTGGTCTACGCATTTTTGCTACAGTATGTGTCTCAACACTCTACAGAGTTAGAACAAAACATGGAGAAGCTCTCCTGTACACAACTGGAACAAACTACCAGAAGATCATAGTTGTGTGAACGTATTAACTTTTAAATCCAAGTTGAAAACATTAATTGTATCACGTGCTTATGACTGAGCTCCTAAACCTAGCTATACTGTTCAGTCTTACAGTTTCTTACTTCTTTCTATCTCATTGTTTTTCATTTTTATAATCTCTATTGTGTCTGTTTATATCTTTTTATGATGTTTGTATTTATTTATTTATTTTTCATTTATTATTTTTCATTGTAAAGCACATTGAATTGTTTTGATGGATCAAGTGTAGGCTACTACATTAATACACTTTGATTTGATTTGATTTGATAATGGTGACTTTACAACAGAAATGTCCTGAGATTCTAAAGTGTACATTTTGCTAGTCCATGGGGATAGAGGACTGTTAGGAGTAAAAAAAAAAAAAAAAAAAAAAAAAAAATTGTAGAGAACAGTTAATGTGAGGAAACAGCAGAAAAAAACTGCATTTACAAGTCATTAAATCTTGTTTAATTTGGACTTCTCTGTGCATGCTTTTTGTTGGACCCCCTTAGCCTCCAGTGTATGACTGATAGACAACAACGGTTTGACTGAAAAATGTCAAAATTGAAAATACTGTGGAAACAAAGACACCTACATCTTGGATGCCCTTGAGGTAAGCTAAAACATATCAAAAATTAATTTCAAACTGAACTATCCCTTTAAATCAGTGGAGTTGCTGTTTGTTTATGACGACGTGGTTAAATGTGGACATTATGAGTTTAGTTTGTATAGTTATGTTGTGTAATACATAGTTTTGATAATGAACCTGTTAAGTAACCAGAATCTTTAATGGGAATAAGAACTAAAATCATTACATTCTTTGCGTTTACCATTACTTATCATCGATCAATGAACACCAGCCACAGGTCATTGTCAACATGATGGATGTAGTATATGTAAATCCGGTAATGTATTCATACTACACACATTCAAACTTACAGCACATACTTCATTAACAGTCGGGAAGTTCAATCACATCCAGTGCATACTATGAAGTTACAGGAATTCAGCGCCAGAAAAGGGAAATACATAAAAACTCAAAATTTATGGTACAGATATGACAAGAAACAGAGACTGTTGAAACATAAACACAGAGATGGAATAGTGAGTTCTGACATAAAGCTATCCAACCTTGACGCATCACTCTTACTTAAAGGCGCACTTTGAAGTATCAGTAATTACTACATACTGCTTTCGAAAAGAAATCGAATTTCAATGAAAAGAAGGAGGGAGAGAGAGCCAACATGCTGAAGACATTAATCGGACTGTGTTTGATGTGCCTGATCAGAAACGTGTTTTTTAAGAGTTAAAGGGAGCATTAATTAAGCCACAGACGGCCTGTTTTCAAGCAATCTGTTACGACGAGCTAAAACCTTGGCCTTTAATTTATTCACCTTGAGCCATTACTTAAGACCTATTTACAAGGCACATGCACAGCCCTCTCATTAAATAGGGTTACTGCCAATGAAGGGGTGTACAGATGATTTTTTTTTTTTTTTTTTTTTTTTTTTAGAGAACTAGTCAGTACATTAAAATTCAAATGAGTAAATCATAATAAATACTAAACATTTGATTCAAGTTTCACTTGAGGTGATACACCGTGTCCTAATCAGAAGTGACACGATGGTGTGTGCGACACGCGACAGAAGGTATCTTTTCCATGATAATGAGTTTTTATCCAAACCAGCCACGACAGCGATACATGACAAGTGTCAGGGGATTCTATTTCTGCAACATAGTGGCTGAAATAACATTCAAACTATGACAATGATGATCTCAGGTACTGAATATGTGCTTTATTCAATGTGAAAAAAAAAAAGAATAATACAATCAATTATTGTGAGTTTGAATATAATTTTGCATGACTTTTATAGCCACACTGAAAGGGACAATTAATTTGGTAACACTTTATAATAACTGCAAGCTAATAATCATTAGTTAAGCATGAGTAAACAGTTAATTTATCATTAATAAAGCATTAATAGACATGAATAAGCTACAAATACTGCTATAAATGCTTTCTTCTCGATTTAAAAGCATATCTTTAATTTGTTTAATAATTGTGTTTTCATCCTTTATTAATGATCAATTTGTCATTTCTAAATGAAGAACTGCATTTTTTATGAACCAGTTATTTAAAAGTTTTCAGTGGTTCAAAAGATTACTTACAACATGTAATGATTAATAACCATTTAAATGTACATTCATACATCTTATTATTCAGGCATATAGTGATGGTTACTTAGTGTGTTAATAAATGCTTTATTAACATGCATTTATGATGTAATTCAGGGTTAATTCAGGTAGTTATAAAGCATTTAGTAGTGGTTTGTTAACAATGTGAGCTCATCTAAAGTGAGGACTATTCATGCCTTGTAAAGCATTTATAAAGGAGATTTAAATGCTGTTAAACATGTTCTGTATCACTGTGCTGTGTTTGTCACATTCTACTGTTTAGAAGATTGATGTGCCTTTAAATTTCCTTTATGTGTCACATTTGGTGTGGACAGTCAGTCTGTAAGATCTTATGTATACAAAAATAAAATGATTAATCAACTTTAAATTGGGATGTTATGCATGATCATTCATAATATCTATACAGATGATCTGGTGGCAAAGTTATTCTCAGATAGTTTATCAGAATTTACCTGCCACTCCATACCAGAGACAACTGAACCAATGAAAGGCATGAGCATGGTTTGTATAAGAAATAGTGTGTTTAAGTGAGCATTCTGCCGGTGTGTGTTTTTGAAAGCGAGGGAGGGGAAAGAACAGGGATGCATCAGAGAAAGACGGCTAAACAGATCTCTGGAGGAAGACCGCCATGCCTCCGCCAGCGAGGGGCTGTCACGGCCACAACGCCACATAAATATTTAACAGTTATATTCAAATTACGAAACACAGAGACTCCTGCCTCAGATAAAAACACATATTCCTGGAATTATCAGAGGAATGCTAAGTCGCGGCCATCCGCTCCATCCTCCCTTCTCTCTCTCTCTCTATCTAAAAAAAAAAGTGGGACGGTTTCATGAAAAGTGATTTCATGAAGGTGTAGGAGTGTGTGTGTGGAAGAAAGCAAGAAAGTGTGAGTTTATGTTAGGTCAAAGGTTAGACAGAGTGTTCTGTCTTTACAATGTGGACACCTAGACTAGTAGAGATTGTGACAAGATACCTGACCCTTGACCCCAGAGGTGATGTATCACAGGGTACATAACGGAAAATTTCACAAGGTTAAGGCAAAGGGTTAGTTCATCGAAATTTAAAATGTGCTCATCATTTACTTCCCCTTGTGTCTTTCGAAACATGTATGACTGACTTTTTTCCATGAAAATACAAAATAGGATAATCTCTGCAATATAATGAAAGCAAGGACACTGTAAAACTAGCTAATAAGATATATCCCAGGTCTTCTAAAATCATACAATGTAAGAGAAACAGAGCAAAAGATTATTCTCTAGTAAACTTCACCTCCACTTCAGTTCTCGCTGAGTTGAGATCGATCACATGGAATGGCTTTTGCCATCAGTGACAAACCTGGCAGCGTATATCAGCATATTCGGCAGGATGGACAATTTGTTAAAATTAAAAGAAAGAGTGCAAATGTGAAGCCACAAAGAACCCTTAAAAATCCAGTGTAACACTTTCTATAACAGTGCACCTGTTACATACTTACTACAGTAATAACAGTAAAGTATGCATAATTACAAGCAACTAACCCTAAACCATACCCCAACCCTAATTATGCAGTTAGTATATGTAGTTAAAAAAATAAATGTTCAGTATTTAAATGTATTAATGCATAGTAAAAAGGACACCTTATAATAAAGTGTAACCAAATCTAGTAGCACACATTTCCATACATACTAGAAAACATATCTGGAGTTTCCAGAAAAATGTCCTTGGAACTTTTTCAGATGACAGATGGACTGAAAATCAACTCAATAACCATCGTTGAACATGCTACGGTAAAGAAAATCACTAATTCAATGAATGGAAGGCTTATGGAAGGCACTAAAATAAGGATGTATATATGGCAACAAATTTTAGAAATTCCCAACATAATATTACAATGAACTTTTTTTTTTGTTATTAAAATACTTTTTTTTTACCATTACACAAATTAATAAAGAAAGAAAGAAAGAAAGAAAGAAAGAAAGAAAGAAAGAAAGAAAGAAAGAAAGAAAGAAAGAAAGAAAGAAAGAAAGAAAGAAAGAAAGAAAGAAAGAGCAAGTAATTCCCCTCAGAAACATGACATTCTTTTGTTAAAAACTAAATAAATAAATAACATGACTACATTTTTAATTGTCATGTAAATGGTTAAAGAGTGCATTAACCCTTTAACCATTCACATGAAACAGAACGGTCCAATTAGAGACTATGTAAGATTCAAATGTGTACTGTATCTTATGTCTTTCTGACTTCAGCATGTACCCTGGCTGGCCATTCCTCTCAGGGTCTGATGTTATGCCTACTTGTCTACATGCTTTAACAGAACTGTAGTTTTGCAGTTTCTCATTCTTCCTTCGTCCCTCACTCCCACTCAAAGAAGTGAATAGTGCCTCAGGACAAGGATGAACTGGATTGTTTACAAAAGCAGCACTTTCTCAAAGAAAAAAATTGTGTTATTTATTTTTAATCATTTTGCTCTTTTTTCTGCTGCTTTTCCCACTGGTGTAGACAAATTGTGTGTTGAGGTGGAAGGGATTTCATAATAATAACCTCCAACAATTACTTACCAAATTCACGTATGACAAGCCGCCATAGCTGTGTGCCACGATGAAGATGTTTTTCGCGAGTGATTTAGAGATGAAGTGGTCCCACACATAAAGTGTGTGTTCCTCCGGAGAGCTGTTTTCCTGTAAAGGCAGAGTGAGAATAATTTGAGTTAAAGGGTTCATTTAATTAAAAATACAATTTTCCTTAATATTCCAAAATACGAGCACAAAATATCATGAAGACAGACACATTATTTTTTTGTTCTCCAGTCCAAAAAAAACCCGTTGGACTAAATGAAACTTGAAATGAATGTGAAAAAAAAAGAAGCTTTTTTACAGCCTACTGACATCAGACCGATACATTAACACATGACCAGCCACATTTACATGTTCATGGCACCCATTTACAAAAACATGAGGACAGATTCATTATGGCCCCATTTACACTGCATGGCTCAATTGACCCTAAATACGTTTTTTTCCTCTCATGTGGCACAGATCGGATATTACCGGTGAACGTGTAAGCAGGGAAAAAAAAACAAACAAAAAAAAAAAAAAACCGCATGGATTTCGTTTTTCTCAGATCAGATTCAGGCCTCACTTGTGTGGTAATAAATCGGATATGAATCAGATACGTGCATTTGCGTGTCTGCCATGACAAATCAGATATTCCCCAGTAAATGCAAGTCGTACGTCATTAAAAAAGTGACGTCAACTCAGATGAACACCACCAACTGAGATCACATGACTTATAGGCGCGATGGAGGACGAAGGATACACACCAAGGGGGTAATCCATCGACCGGAAGTTGAAGCCTCGCAGGAGCTGCCATCTTGTAGCAGAACTTCACTTGCGTTAGCATTCCCATTGACCCCCATTCATTTTGCCGTCACTTTGACAGGGAATAACTTTACATCTGAGGTGTTTGAACACCCCATTTGTCCTTTATTTATTTCTAAAGAAACACGACAATGTATTAAACGCTCCATTACCTTGTAGCTTATGTTATGGCCCCATAGAAGCAGTTTTTGTAAAAGTAGGCTAACGATTTTACTTCCTTTTCCGGGTCAGAACGTCTACATTTGGCAGTCTCAGCAGTGTATAGTGTAAATGCAAAAATTGGATACGGATCACTTTTAAAAGATGATGTAAGTGGGTCGTCCAGAAAATCAGATTTGGGCATCAAGACCTGCAGTGTAAATGCAGCCTATGAGACAAAAATCTGGACACCCCATTAAATTAACTCACTAATATTTGATCAAAACATAAATATATATATATATATATATATATATATATATATATATATATATTTGAATTATACTAAATAGAATATAGGATATATTTTATTAAAGTATATTTTATCTTTATAAAACAAAATAAATAAAACAGCTTTGACCTCTTTAAGTTAGAGACTGCCTGAAGACGTGCACCCACAACAACATTCGCTCAGTTAAATTTATCTTAATCAATGAGTCTTGCATACTGTGAATGCCTCCGATGCAAAACTCAATAGATTGTGTGACGTCAAGTTTATATCTTAATTTGTACCCCACTGACTGATCAATACGGCCTCTATACTAGCGATAAACACATAATCGGCCTACATGGGAAGGTCACACAAGCAGGGCACAAACACAACACTCGTAATTAACAGTGGCCTGGGGTTATAACGCTCTACGAATGCGAGACGAGAGAGAGAGAGAGAGAGAGAGAGAGAGAGAGAGAGAGAGGCACATTCATTCACTGGCGCATGCAACATCGATCTGTGTGTTTGTTTGCAAATGTGGCGATCGTTTAAATGCAGAATAACAACTTAATTAGAGAAAAATTGCTAGCAACAAGTCAGCGAACGTGGATGCCTGTGACATAAAACGACAAATGCGGCATCGGCAGCTACACAGCTGAAAGAGAAAGAGCCCGGCCTTGTCGTAATCCGTTTCTGAAACTTTGCAGCCTTGCCCTGCGTTTAGCCTTTTTCTCGTGATCTTGCATCAGCTCTCCCACATTGATTAGCTTTTTGAAAAGCACAATAATAAGTGAATTAGAGCTGAAGGAGCTGGCAGGAGGGAAGAGATTTCCTGTCACCGAAATGGCTTGTGTTGGCGAGGGGACACAAATATGAAAGTAAATAAACAGGCTGGTGGGAGGGGGGGTTACGGCGTGATGCAACTGGCGGAAAGCGCTGAGCCCAGATCTCCTTGGACGGCTGGGCGGTGGGTGCAGGGCGGTGAAAACGGGGACGATTTTCTCGCACACTCTTAGACATCAAAGCTTTTTTGAAGAACCAAAGCTGAGTCATCATCGCAGTGCAGTGCATTTCATATTCATAAATCTCTCAGCACGCACACGAGCATGCATGGACACATGGGCACAAAGAGGTGTAGTGGCCAGTAATTCGTTTGTATACCCTCATTTAATAAATGGCCCTGGTCCTTATTGTACACAATTAATTAGTAATTAATGATATTCTAAAGAAAAAAAAAATGTTTGCAATCTTTCATCAAAATGTAAAAACTTTTTCTACCTCTGAAAAAAGTTTTTATTCTGCTGATGTAACCAAGGGCATGCAATTTTTTTTTTTTTTTTTTTTTTCAATTTTAGAAATTAAGGTATCTTTGCTAACTAAATAAAAAAAGTAAAGTAGTATATATATAAAAAAAAAAATACAAAGCTGTTTTATTTCATTGCAATGTTCACAACTAGTGCTGGGCAACGATTAACACCCAACATAAAAGTTTGTGTTTACATAATAAATGTGTGTGTGCTGTGTATAATTACTTTAACTATATACATACACACATACAATATGCAATATATATATATATATATATATATATATATATATATATATATATATACACGCACACACACACATACAATATGCATGTATATGTTTAAGAAATATTTGCATGTGTGTGTGTGTATGTATATATATATATATATATATATATATATAATTTATAATTGATATTATATACAAATATTAAACATTTTGTTTGTAAATAACATTTTTTTTCTTAAATATATACATGCATGTGTGTGTATTTATATATACAACACAATTATACACAGTACACACACATATTATGTAAACACAAACTTGTATTTTGGATTTTGGATGCCCCAGCATTATTCACAACGTTTATTTTTAAAGATGTAGTGGCGGGGGGGAATTATATATATATATATATATATATATATATATATATATATACACTATATACTATATAATATATATATATATATATATATATATATATATATATATATATATATATATATATATATATATATATATATATATATATATATATTCTGACCAAATCTATAATTTTAAAAATAGTAGTATGATAGTTATGATAGCAAACACTACTCATACTCTTTTCACAATCTGACATTGATCAAATCAAGTACTGGGTATAAATTACAACTGCAATTTCAGGTTGCTATAGATTTATGTGCATCTCAGAAGGTTATTTTATGGTAAAGCAAACAGAAGAATGACCGTTTGGTTGTTCTGTGCGTGTATAAGTGTGTGTGTGTGTGTGTGTGTGTGAGTGTGTTTCAAAAAATGAAATCGCCACTGTTGCACAAGGGTGATGCCACATAAAACCAGGTAACATCCCCCTCCCCTTATCAACCCAACACAGAGTCTGACACCTGGACCACACACATACGCAAGCACACATAGACCACCGCCTCCCTCCAACCCTTCCCCTATGATTGACTACCTCCACTGATAGAGCCCACACTTATCTAAACAGCATTTGCATATTTGTGTAATTATTTCCTAGGGTTAATTAGCTCCTGCGAAACAATATGCCCATAGAGACCTCTCTCTTTCTCTCTTGCTGTCAGCCTTCATCTCGTCCATGCATGTGCAAGACCTAGAAGACTCCCAGAGTGAGCTGACCAGTTGCTCATGTCTATGAATGTATGCATGGACATTAACTATTAACTTTTAAAAATAAGCGTGTACTTTCTGCATTGCTAACATCAACAAATACAATTGCAAAAATAATGACAAGTTCTCATCTCGTCTCCCATTGGGTTGATAAACTGAAAGCCAAATGAATGCCTTACTTATAAAGCTTTTAATGCTGTTTATATGTCTATGTGGTGTTTTAAGACAAACCATGTGTAAAATCATAAGTAAGCACGATTGCTGAGTATTTTCTCCTTAAAACCGCAGTGAACCAAAGACAGTCTTGCTGGTGTTTCTGACATCACAAACTACCTTGTAACCAATAACGTTAACGAGTGATCGAAAACGAGTGGATCTCTGAGCTGGTGTGAGTGAATGGAGGTGGGGGTAATTTGCATATTCATAGAACAGCGGCAAGGTTGTGGAATTACATTCAAGCTATTTTAAATATGTAATTTTGGTGATCAAAGGGCAGTTTTAAGGGATTTTGTTGACTACAAACAATGGATACGAGGGAAAATACATTAAAGGAGTACAGTGTATAAAGGAAATAATTGTGGTTTATTAATCTATTGATTAATTGATCGTAATGTAATTGGTTACCCTTCATTCTCATTTCTTTAATTCATTTATTTAGCTTTTTCAATCAACTTAAAGGGATAGTTCACCCAAACATGAAAACGATGTCATTAATTACTCAGCCTTTTTAGTTTTACAATCTCTAAACTTTTTGAAACGTCAAAGTTATAGTTGTGTAGCTGAATATGGAGGGACATAAAGCACTCAGATTTCATCCAAAATATCTTCATCCAAAATAAGTCTTACAGGTTTGGAACAACATGAGGGTGAGTAATTATTGACCTAATTTTCATTTTTGGGTGAACTAACCCTTTAAATTATGCAGTCCTATGGTGTGACTACTGATTAATAAAAAAATACAAATTTCAAGTAGTGTCTCAATTAGTATAATAAATATTTTATGCAAAAAAACAAACAAACAAAAAAAAAAAAAACAATCACACTGTAGGACACTCTGTTACAGTGCACGACTTTTTAAGCTGTTAAACTCTTTTAACACATTGTTTCCAACAGCCGCCTTCGTGTTAGTTTCCAGACAAATACATAAACCGTTTTATGTCTATTTAAAGCAGAAAATCTCTCTTTCTATTATGCAGAGGCATCACAGTTCAAGACTGAGAAAATGAACATGGAA